AATATCATATCAAATTTGAATATAATTTCAGTAGGTACCAACAATTTAAAGTACAAGCAACAATTTTTATAGGTTTTTGTTGTTAACAGATGTTACTTGTCATGCACAATTGTYTATTTTTTAGAACGGATATTAAATTACTWAAAAGYATTGTTTACATTAAGTTTTGTGATTAAAGAGTGTTTAAAATCACTTTACAACTGSAAATTGATCGCTGATGGGTGAGGTTAAGAGAATTACAAGCTACAACTTATAAAAACATTTTAGATAAAAACTAGGTATACAAAAATKATGCACATAATATACTTTTSAAGTATAACTTTTTAATAGGGTACGCATGTTTTAAGAATAAATTAGTGAAGGTATATAAATTGTAAATTATAAAAGGTGAGAGATACCATTTACCCTTACTTTAATCACTACTCATTTACTTGACRTCTTGGCTCACAGGTACCTAYAACTCGAACGATATAATAACTACTAGTGTCGTACGTTTTTTGCAGGTGTTGCTGGCAGTGGGTCGAGGCTTGGGCAGACCAGAAGCGCCGCTGACCGGTTTCGGCGGAAGCGGTGGCGGATTTCCGGGGCTTACTCTGGACAGCTACGCAGCTCCTATCAGTGGCGGCAGTAACAGTGGCCCTTACCCGAGCGGCGGGCCACCACCACAGTACGGGCCACCACAACAAGCGCCCGTCATACACAAGCACGTGTACGTGCACGTTCCACCTCCAGAGCCCACTTATTACGCCCCGAAGAAGCCTGTGCAGCCTCCACCACCACCACAGAAGCACTACAAGATCGTGTTCATCAAGGCACCAACACCACCACCACCCACCGTGCCGGACATACCGGCAATCGCGCCACCAGCGGAACAGAAGACGCTCATCTATGTGCTAGTCAAGAAACCGGACGAGGCGCCCGAGATCCACATCCCGACGCCCGCACCCACACAGCCATCCAAACCGGAAGTGTACTTCATCAGATACAAGACCCAGGTAATTATCRATTCACGTCGTCGTCAACGTTGTTATTGTTGTTCAGGGGTAACGAAAAGATTCTCGCATTTCTCATATTCTCGACACTCAACAATTTTACGACGACAATATTTAAGTTTTTGGCATTTACTTTTTGATTTTCAGAAACAAGAAGGATACCCCAACTCGGTGGCATCTGAGTATGGAGCACCTGCGAGTCCGTCTCCATCGATCCCATCGGACACGTACGGYTCCCCATCACCGTCCACCGGATACGGTGCRCCCAGTGGTCCAGGGTCACTGTACTGACCAGGAATAAAACTACCACAGAAACATGACCAAGACACTACAATACGATACTTACGTCGTCTAATATATTATAATATTATATATATCAACTAAATGGTCCAAARATAAAAACGATTAAAATAAATAATAAACAAGCAATATCAAATAAAATAAGATTATAACTATAGGTTATGCACGCCAACACACTGTGTAGTTGTACATTATATTATTATTATTATTATTATTATTATTATTATTATTATTATTATATTATTATTAATATTATTATATCCGAACGTTGGACGAGGATAACGTATATGTTATTATATTTAGTGTTGCCATAAGATAAATCTTAGAATACGCGAAACTTCCGTTTCAATAATAATATATTAGGTATATTTAATAACCTATTATTTTTGTTAAAAAAAAAGATGATCTGTGGCCTATCTAAAATTTACATATACATAATATATTATAATAACAGATATTATACTGCAGCCAAACTATCGACCGACATGAATATAATAAAATATATATCGGAAAAAATATGATTTATTATTAACACCCCACTACCACAACCACAACCCTCGTATTACGTTTGCACTAAATAACGCACTCCACTTCCGCCACATTTTAAAGGACGTCTTATATTATAATATTATTTTAACTACGTCTTTTACCCCATGGCCACGGCCACAATCCTATCCAAAACACTTCGTTATACGGCACACACGTACACGCAGCATTATTGCATTAATATATAATGTACTTTTAGGTCTAAAACGTACCTTCGTAAATCGTCATAATTGTTATTGTTTACTTCGTCCGGATATTAATTATTCCATATTTCCATTATTGTAAAAGGTATATTATCGTAGTATCATACCGCCGTGCACATTATCATGTGTGAGTGTGACTGTGTGAGTGTGTTTGCTCGAGTGCGTGACTATCGCGATGTTTTCACTTTCTCTCGCTCTCAGCATAGGAACCTATTCAGAATTTTAAATTTTCCTAAAATTATTATGTAACTGGATTTTTTCACTCTGGCGGATTCCGCGATCCATGTTTGGAAGTATACAATTATAATAATATACATACAACGCGCCATCATTGAATAGCTGCTTTGTACAATCATATTCGCGTGGTACTATAATGTGCTCTGTAAAATGAAACGGCGTTGTTAGAAAACACAGTATTAAACTTTTTTTATTATTTTGAACACTCGTATATTTGGGTACTTAATCTGCTGTTAATCAATGTGAAAATGTGAAAATGTCTGTCTGATTTAGGCATTATAGCACCTAACCTAAACACCATTCCGCGATATCAAATAAAAAATTAAAATTAAATAAACACTCGTACTTACAATAAATGTAAAGTAATAACGTCACCTTTTATATTATAGATATCATATAATATGTACCTATATATATATATATCACTTAGTTGTATAATATCCTACTGTTTTACTGTTATTTTTTTGTATATATTTATATTGTTATTGTATTATTTTATATTTTAGCATGTATATACCTAATTGTGTGCATTTGTTTAATACTTAAATATAAACTTCATTTACCACTCTTTACATCATAATTTATGATTATTCAATATAACATCCCCACTATAATATGTCCATATGTCTATATTATTGAACGAGAGTTGACTTATTCATACGGTACCTACCTACAGGGGC